GAAGATGAAAATGAAAGATAACCAACCTTTGTTAAGCATATTCTATGTGCCTAGCATGATGCTATGGGCTTCACATATTTTTTTCCTCAATAAAAATCTTAAATCTTTATGAAGTCGCGACCCATCATTATTATTCACAGGAAGAAAGTGAGTACCTAGAGAGGGTAAGTATAACTTGCCTACAATTACAGGACCATGAAACTAGGAAGGAAACAGGTCAAAATTGTAATTCTTAACACCATTTTGATGAACCCTTCTCTCATTTCCTCTCCTTTCTACTTATAGCAGCCAGTCAGGAAACATCTTACAAGAATTATTTTGGATTTCAAAAAATGATTTCTAAATAATAGAAAACCCTATTCTTTCCTCCATGCTGAATTATCTTTCAGGAAGACCATACCACTGTTAAAATCTTCAGGGGGTTAGGTGATATAACAGAATGGAAGCACATTTCTCATTGTCAGAAAAAATTTATAAAAATAAGTTAGAATATTCAGTTGAGAACCATATTAAGATTTAAAAGTAAATATTTAAATTTAATTTTTAAAAGGCTAGAAAGTCCTATTTTACAGGGAAACTGACATTTAGGGATACATAAAAGCATGAAAATCAAACAAGACTGGATTTAACTAACATTCTCTTTTACAGAAATAATTAAATATTCAAAATAAAAATTACATTTGATGAATATTAATGAATGTAGACAGGTCTTACATTTCATACAAAGAAAAATTAAATACTAAGCTTTACTACAAAGCCATTGAAAAATAAAACGCTATCAATCATTAAAGCTACCTTGTTGACAAAATCTAAACAAATCATTTTAATAGTATAGACTGTACATCATTTTTCAAGTTTTGAATTGTAATATTTTTTAAATCAGAGAAATGGCAAAAAAAAAAATCTCATTTGGGGAAATTCAAATACTAGAACGCTTTAGTTTGACACATTTATTTCCAACAAATAATCTCACTGGTAGAGGGATTTGAGCCTAAGGCTACTGTAAATAATTCCCAATTATAATGCTGGCAAGGGTATAAGATAACATGAGAGGGAGAGTTCAAGGAGCAGCACATATAACCCACTAGGCTTCCTTCTTTTCTTCCACCAACTTCCAAAACACACCTTCAGATGTTCTAAAGAGGTAATTTTCTTCTTTTCTGAGACTGACTCTACTAGCCCTTCCCTTTTCTTTCTTTCCATTCTTTTTTCTGATCTGATTATAACAGAAACTAACTTATACTGTGAAGCTCTAATAACAAGAGTATTAATATTATGTATTTACATAGCTCATTACATAAAGCACCCTTTGTTTTCATATTAGGCATAATTCTCTTCATTTCAGGGGTCATTAGGTGTTTTATCATTGCCACTCTTAGTACAATCATTATCAACCACCCCTACTCCTTTCAACAGATTGAATGCTAGTCAGGAACTATCTTAGAGGAATTATTATTTGGGATTACTTCAGAATTACTTCTAACAGCTGAAACTGCTTAACTTTTTGAGATGATACATCACAGGTATTTAATTTTTCATTAATACCTTATATATGTCTTGTATGTTCTTTTATATGTACCATTATTTTATTATTAAACATTTATGCAACTACTCAATTGGATCTAAACAGCAAAGCAAGAGAGGATCATTAGCTATCAGTGGTAAATAGGATTAACAGTAGGCAATGGTTATCAAGGAGAACTGCACTGTCATAAAAAAAAATCATTATTATCATAAAAAACAAATATAGGATAAAGTAAAAGTTTTCTAAACACATTTTAAAAGGTACAAAAAGGTGTTATGAATTCAGAATTTATTTATTTCTTCAACTATTCCTGTCATCTGTTAACTTTTCTCCATCTCCACTGTCACTACCCTGAGCAAGCTACCATCATCTTGTGTGTGGACTACAAAAGTTGCTTCCAGTCTGGTCTCCCTGAGTCGTCTGTGGCCTCTCTTCAATCCACAATGTGCAAAACAGACAGAATAGTCTTTCCAAAATGCAAACCAGATGACATCACTCCCATTTAAAATACTTCAGTGGTTTCACACTGCCCTTAGGATAAAATCCTAACAGTTCCTATAAAACCTGGTCTCCATATAGATATCCAATCTAATTTCTCTTCTATATTAATCGGGATTGGCTAGACTGGGTCTGCCTCCCCTCGCTCCATCCTTCCCCCAGTCCCGTACATATTTGCTATGGTCCTTGCTGCCTCGGGACCTTTGTACTTGCTGCTTACTATGCCATCACATTCTATTTTTAGTTAATTTGGATTCTTCAAATTCCTAGATTAGACCAGATTCCATACTTACAGTTTATATCTACTTTCATTCAATTTTGTTTTCCTGCCTGGACTGCAAGCTCCATGAGGGGAGCAGTGCCTGTTTTGTTCCTCATTATACCTCCAGTGCCTACACCACAGACTGGGCACAGAATAGGAGTTGAACAAATAAGTGTTCAGTATAATTTTAACATAAAGCATACAAAATAGTTTGAAAAGTTTATCAGAAGACAAAACACTAATTACCAGTTCTGTTAAGCTCAGAATATGCAAAGTTCCTTGCAATCAATCCCCTGTATTACATAAAAACTTCACAAGAAAGCTATAAAATATGTGACCAAATTGCCAGGGGAAAATAATTGGCCTTTTATATTAAATTTAAGGGCAATGTTATTCATCTATGCTTCTACTTAAAGGCAATTCAATATGAATACTTGACTACTGCTTTGAAAAATCGTATCTAGCAAGAGATAATGATTATTTACTTACCATTTTAAGAATGACAAATGCCACAAAATGCAGTATCAATGTATTTTAAATGTACTATCAAATGTAATACCAAAGCAACCTGGTCTAAGTGCTAAGAAAAAAATAAACCCTCTAAAGTGGCACGTATTAAAATCCACCAATTTCATGACTCCTCAAGAACAGAAAACAAGTTTATATTGTTAACTTCATTTTATTATGAGACAAGTTATCAACAATTAAAAATATTTAACAAATGTTAAGTTAGTGGCACGACAGAAGAAAATTTCCTCAACCTGATAGACACTACAGGAAAACCTACAGCTAACGTGATATTTAACAGTAAAAGAGTAAATACTTTCTCCTTAAGACTGGAAACAAAGCAAAGATGTCTTCTCACCACTTTTATGCACAATGTTCTGGAGGTCCTAAGCAGTGTAACAGGCAAGACAAGGAAACAGTTAAGTGATACAAGAAAAGGAAGACATGACTGTATACAAAGAAACACCGAAAAACATCTACCCAAAAGCCCATTAGAATTAATGAGTAAATTTTGTCAGGATACGAGGTTAATGTATAAAAATCACTGCATTTCTATGCAACAAACAATAGTAAATGAAATTTTAAAATAATAAACTATTTACAATAGCCTCAAAACAAAGAAAACAAACAAATTTAATAAAAGATGTGTAAGACCTCTACCCTAAAAAATACAAAATGTCACTGAGGAAAAAGTAAAAGGTCCTAAGCAAACGGAGACACACGCCATCTTTATGGATTAGAAGACTCAATATTTTTAAGAATGTTAGTTTTCATAAATTGATCTAAAGATTTATTACCATTCCAATTAAAATCCAAGTAGGTTTTTGGTAAAACTAACAAGCTGAATCTAAAATTTATATATAAACACAAAGGACCTAGGATAGCTAAAACAATCTTGGGAAAGGATTGAAAAAAAGTTGGAGGACT